ATACACGTATATATATATATGTACCACTGTTAAATAAGGTCTAACTCTTTCTGGAAAGATAACTGGAAGGTGAATAGCTGGCAAAATGGAATTTCTAGTTTTAGTTTTTCAAGAGACCTTCAGACTGATTTCCTTAGTGGTTGTACTAGTTTACACTCCCACCAGTAGTATAGAAGGGTTCCCTTTTCCCAGTAGCCTCACCAGTATTATTATAGTATTTGATTTCTTAATGATAGCCATTCTTTCTGAAGTAAGATAGAACCTAAGTGTTGTTTTAATTTGCATTTCTCTAATGGCCTGTGAGGTTGAACATTACTTCATGCACTTATTGGCCATTTGTACTACTTCTGATAGTTCATTTCAATTGCCCATTGCTTGTTTGGGTCTACATTTCAGTCCTCTGAGAGGTAGCTGGAAAAAATTTTCTTCTCATTCTGTAGATTGCCACTTCACTTGGTTGGGTGTTTCTTTTGGTATGAAGAAGTTTTTAAATTTGATATGATCCCACTTGTTGATTCTTGGTATATTGTGCAATTGCAGTTCTATTCAGAAAGTCCTTGTCTATACCTATGTCCTTGCCTTGCCTTGTCTTGCCTTCAAGAGTTTTATCTATCTTATCTTTCAGTAGGTTGTGTTTCTGTTGTAATATTTAGATCTTTGCTCAATTTTGAATTTAGTTTACATAATATGTGGTGAGAGATAGAGGCCTAGGTTCAATCTTTATGTGGCTAGCCAGTTTTTCCATCACTGTTTGTTAGAGAGGCTATCTTTCCTCCAGTGTAGGTTTTTGGCCCCCTTGTCAAAAATCAGATAGCTGAATATGCCTGGAGTTGTTTTTGCATCCTCTATTCTGATCCATTATCACTTATTTAAGACCATGTTCCATTCCTGATCCTAGATTGTTAACTGAATTGGTCTCTAAGTGAGGAGTTGTATGTAGTATGTACATTACAATATGTTTTCAGAACAAAGAAATGCTAAAAGGAAACTCCAGCTTGATGATTTTGCTTTTATTTGCATAACTCTTGATGTAGTACGGTAATGTATAGTAGAACATAAAACAACAGTACAATAGTTTTAATCAGCAAAAATTACAGTACTGTATAAATAAAGTATAGTTACAAAAAAGACATTGAGGCCCCAGCCTTAAACAAGATGTACAGAACTGTACATAAAGAAAGATGTATCATAAGTCCAATCAGTTGTTAAAACAGGTAGCTTATTAAATGAAGAATATCTAGTATAACTTGAAGTCTGGGATTGTGATGTCTCCTGCCTTGTTCTTGTTGCCCAGGATTGCTTTCACTAACCTGGTCTCTTCTGGTTCCATATGAATGTTAGAATTTCTTTTCTAGTTCTGTGAGGAATGCTATTAGTATTTTGATTGGGATTGCATTAAACCTGTGTATCACTTTTGAAAGTATGATCATCTAGACTGTATTGGTTCTGGCTATCCAGGAACAGGGGATGTCTGTCCATTTTTCGATGCCCTTTTAGATCCTCATTTTTCAAGAGTACTGTAGTTTTCATTCTCTGTGGGGGGCATGTGGTAACCAGGGATCAAACTCAGGACCTTGCACTAATGAGGCAGGTGTGGGTGCTACTGGGCTAAATCCCCAGCCACTGTAGTTTTCATTATAAAAGTCTTTCACTTGCTTGGTTAAGTTTATTCCTAAGTATTTAATTTTTATTGATGCTATTATGAAAGGTATTGTTTCTTTAATTTCTTTCTTGGTGAATTTATTATTGGTGTATAGGAATGCTATTGAGTTTTGAGTGTTGATTTTATATTTTGCTACACTACTGAAATTGGTTATTAATTGTATGTGTTTTTTGGTGGAATTTTTTGGGTCTTCTACATACACAATCATGTCTACCGCAAATAATGATAATTTGATTTTTTTTCTTTCTGATACATATTTCTTTCTTTCTTTTTTTTTTTCCTGTTTCTGATCACTATGATTAATGCCCCAAGAACTGTATGTAAGCTGGGTGTGGTGGTGCATGCCTGTAATATCAGCACTTGGGAGGCTGAGGCAGGAGGATCGCTGTGAGTTTGAGACCAGCCTGGGCTACATAGTGAGACCCTGTCTCAAAAAGCCAAAAAGAGAGAAAAAAGAACTATATGTAAACAGGAGTGGTGATAGTGAACATCTATGTCTTGTTCCTGATTTCAGAAGAACAGCTTTCAACTTCTTCTCTCCTTTTACTGTTATGTTGGCTGTTGATTTGTCTTAAGTGAGATAAGGCCCTTCTATTCCTTTTTTTTTTTTTTTTTAATATACCTATTTTCTTCAGGGTTTTTGTCATGAATGGGTGTTGATTTTGTTAAAGGTCTTTTCTGTGTCATTTGAGATGATCATACCGTTTTTGTCTTTGCTCTGTGTATTATGTTTATTGATTTGCAAATATTAAACCATCTGTGCATCCCTGGGATGAATCTTTCCTGGTCATGATGTATGATTTGTTGATGATTTGTTGCATTCTGTTTGCCAGTATCTTGTTAGAGGAGTTTTGCATCTGTGTTCATCAAAGGGATTAGCCTGTAATTCTCTTTTTTTGGTTGGTTCCTTGTCTAGTTTTGGAAATCAGGGTAATGGTAGCTTCCAAGGATGATTTTAGTATTCCTTCCCTTTCTTTTTTTTTGTCGGGGGGCTGAGTGGGTTTGAGATGGAGTCTTGCTATGTAGTTCAGGCTAGTTTTGAACTCACTATATAGACCAGGTTGGCCTTGAATTCATGGCAATCCTCCTGCCTCAGCCTCCTGGATGCTACTCCCTCCCCTTTAATTTCATTAATTAATTTGAGGAGTATTGGCATTTGATCTTCTCTAAAGTTCTTGTATAATTTGTCAGTGAATCTATCAGGACCTGAGGTTTTTTTTCATTGCTAGTTTTTTTCTTTCAATTTCATTGCCTTATATTAGAATATTTGGATTTTTTGTTTTATATTGTGTCTTCATTGAGACTGAGTCTCACTGTGTAGTTCAGGCTGGCCTTGAACTCACTACATAGCCCAGGCGGGGTTTCAACTCACAATGATCTTCCTGCCTCATCCTGCAAAATGCTGGGATTACAGATGTGTACCGCTATGCCTTACATATTCAGGATTTTATATCATCTTGACTCAGCTTGATAATTCATACATCTGTAGGAATCTATCCATTTCTTCTGGATTCTCCATTTATATTAGAGTACAGGTTTTCAAAGTAGTTACTAATGATTGTCTGAATTTTGGCAAAGACTGTTTTGATTTCATCTTTTTCATTTCTAATTGTATTGATTTGTCTCTTTCCTTTTTTTGGTAAGATTGGCTAAGAATTTGTCTATTTTTATTTATTCTTTCAAAGGACCAACTCTCGATTCATTGATTTTTTTTTTTCCTAATTTTACTAATTTCTGCCCTGTTCTCTATAATTTCCATCCTGGTACTGTTTTTGGATTTGTTACTGTTTTTCTAGGATCTTGAGTGTATCATTAGGTTATTTATTTGGACTCCCTCTTTTTCTGAGGAGACTGGACACATTTAGAGTGATATGGCCGTTGACTCCCTCTGTTTTTCTGATGTGGGGATTCACAGGTATACATTTTCCTCTTAGGACTGCTTTCATCTTGTCCCATAGGCTCCAGTATATTATACGGGCATTGTAATTTGATTCTAGATACTGTAATTCCTTCTGAGATCATTGATTATTTAAGAGAGTATTGTTTAGTTTGCATGCATTTGTATAATTTCTATGGTTTCCTTTGCTATTGATTTCTAGTTTCATTGGAGTCTGATCTGATAATATCCATGGTATAATTTTCATGCTTTTGCATTTCCTTAGCTTGCTTTATGGTCTAACATGGTCTGTTTTAGAGAAAGTCACTTGTGCTGCTGACAGGAATATATATTATGTGGTTGTTGGTTGGAACACTGCAGATATCGATCAAGTCCATTTGTTCAAAGATTTGATTGAAGTCTGATATTGCTTTGTTGACTTTTTTTTTTTGGTCTGGTTGATCATTTTGTGGCAGAGGGGTCTTGAGGTCCACTATTGTAATTGTGTTGGTGTTTATCTGATTTTTTATGTTTAGTAGTGTTTGTTTTATGAAGTTAGGTGTGCCTGTGTTTCGTGAATATGTTTATAATTGTTATTTCTTCCAGTTGAATTGTTCCCTTAACCAATATGTAGTGACCTTCTTTGCCTGTCTTCTAATTCTGATAATGTATAATCTCATTCATCACTTCTTCTGCCTGTACTTTTAATATAATTTTTAATATAATTTTTATAATTTTAATCTCCTGGATTTCTGTTTGGAACCTTTTTGTGTGCTCTTAATTCTTTGCTAAACTCTGAATTTATATGTTGTATCATTTTGTTTAGTTCAGCTAGCTTTTTATTAGTGTCTTCTGTAAGCTCCCTGATCTTTTTCTTTTTAATGCTTCCATTATCTGTTTAGTTATATCTTCTGTGATCCCACAGAGCACCTCAGTGATCAGCTTTTAATCTCCTTTGTTATCCTTTTGCATAATTCCAGTGTGTGGCATTTCTTCTCCTGCCCCTTGATCCCCCCAGAGTGTGCTTTCAGTGATTTGGGAGTTTTGGGAGGCAGTTTGTTGCCTTGTCTTCTCATGTGTCTAATGTTTTGTTTGTACTTAGGTTTGTAGGTGCTTATCGTAGAAAGTATTTGCTGCTAGTATGGAGTTTTCTTTAGTTAATATGCTTTTCATTGGTATACTCTGGGCATGGTTAATTATAGTCTTTTTGCCTCTGTTAATTTTGGAGGAGAGAGGATGCACTGCAGTTGGCCAAACAGTTCTCTGGGAATGGATCACAGTATTGTTAATGTAACAAATGTAATCTGTGTGTTGGCATATAAAAAAACTAGTTAATAGCAACTCCATATTAGCAAAAGTTTTATTGTCAAGGCAGACTGTATATTGACATACCATAGGGCAGGGGACTTAGCTCAGTGGTTCCGCCACGTGCCTTGCAGGTTCAATCCCTAGTACCATAAAAAAACAAAACAAAACAAAACAAAAAAAGCACATACCATAAGAACCAACAATATACCACCCTTAACCATAGAAGAGGCAATCCATAATTATAATAAAAACACTGAGATAACCCAGATATTAACATAGAACATATGCAGAGTTTGCCAAAAAAAATGTATACAAACTTCAGGAAAAGCAAAACTTCTGTAAGTATTTTAATACTAAATTTATTGAGACATCCCGAGACTAATACAAGTTACCTTTGGCTTCTGCAATTACAAGAGATGCTCAAAGTGGTGGCCGTTAGCTTCTAGACATAGGATGGCAAGCTGCTACACCTGGTCATTGATACTGCTGCACATGAATTTTGAGTTTCTTTCTAAGGGACAGCAATGTAGTATGTTTTCTTTAATATACAGTGACCTCCAGGGTCCTCCATATGAGGCTAATACCATCTGTTGAAAAAACACCATACTATTTTACTTTTCCTGAAGTATATGGACATGGGGGGGGGCACTCTATGTGCTAAATATAGCAACTGTACCTCCACTAATGATGAAAAGGAATTCAATAGTAACAACATAGTTAACGATCAGAAGATTAATAGAGTGTAATGGTTATACTATTAAAGACATAGGGAGTTGGGAACAGGAGAATGTTAGAGGAAAAATTTGAAAAATCAAACAATGGGAGATGAGCTGGAGAAAGAAATGAGACAAAGGATCCTATTGATTAGGATATTTGTAGACTTAGATAAAGGATGGGAAATTTATCCAATTTTTAAAATGAGAAGTAGAAGATAACAAAGAAGCAAGGAAAGAAGACAAAGAGCATGGATAATAGATTAAAGATTAACAGATAAAAGAGGAGAAAAAAAAAAAAGACAAAGGAAAATTTCCCAAACCTCTATGAACCAGTGAAGAATAAAGAAGAAATAAAACAAATTGTCTGTATTTTTGAATGGGTGGTTTTCCTGTATCTAACAGTTTTGGAGCCCAGTAATTTATGGTTTTCTCCACTTTGCCTTATGGCCTGTAGGACCAAAGCCAATTTTGTTTTGTTTTGTTTTTTTGGTACCAGGGATTGAACTCGGGTCCTTGAGCTTGCAAGGCAGGCCACCGAACCACTGAGCTAAATCCCCAGCCCACCAAAGCCAATTTAATTGAGAAATTCATAGCTTTAGTTAACCTATAAGTGAAATTTTCATTTTCATACTATTTGAAACATTTGGGCTATAACTATAGTAATTATGTATGTTTTAAAAATAAATATCTTAAAGTTAGGATGTTATAGAAGACAGATTCATTTAGTATTGTTACTGGATAATCTTAGATAAATTGTTATACTGTTTCATATTAGGAATCTCTTAAAAAGGCCAATATATGTTTTCTAAAGCACCTTCTCTAAATTGTGGGTTATAAATATATAGGTGGAAATCAGTCATCTTAAAGCAAGACAGAGCGCGCTCCAGGATGAGCTGCAGAAACTGCAGCCAGCGGCTCAGTCGGTGCCCGCGGGGGCTGACAGTGCACCCGCAGCCGCTGTGCCATCTTCTTCCAGTTATGGGCTCCATCATCGCACTGCAGCATTCTACGACGATGACATGGACTTTGGCGACCTAGTGTCATCACAACAGGAAATAAACAGATTGTCAAACGAAGTCTCAAGGCTTGAATCTGAGGTTGGCCACTGGAGGCGTATTGCTCAGGTAGGTAAAGCTGGATGAGTTTTAAAATCTAGCAGTAAGTAAAACTAGTGTTGCCATGGTCCTGGGATTTAATTCAGTGGTTCTGCCACCTGCCTCTTAAGCTCAAGGTCCCGAGTTCGATCCCTGGTACAAAACAACAACAGCAACAACAACAACAACAACAAAAAACAGAACACAAAACCTAGTGCTGCCATCTAGTAGGAAGCTACAGGTAGAGCATTTGGTTAACAGAAATGCTCCTGGACTAGGAAATAGAAACCTGTATTGCACTTCTAATTCAGCCAGTGGCTGTGTGTTTTTGGTTCAGTTGCCTTTCTCTCAACTATAGTGTCTTCAGTATGCTTTTCTGTACCATATTTAGAAAAAAGTTTCAAAAAAATTTAAAGCAAGAAATCCATTTTTGAGGAAGTGCTTTTCCCCTGGAAACTGAAGCTTCTTTGGTGGAGACACCAAGGCTCTATGTTTGACAGGGCTTCCTTGGATTTTGTCAAGTTTTTGTTAGCTCTAGTGATGCGTAAAGTGAAAATCTGGTAATTGGTATTATAAAATATGTTAAACTATTTTGTGTTGGTTCTCATGCATTAGGAATTAAATACTTCATATTTTGGGCTCTAAACTTTCTTCTAAGAATGCTTTTACTTACATATTAGATTTTATATACAGTATTCTGAAATTTGTTAGTAGATGAGACCTGTTAGTAGGTGAGACCTGGACTAAACTGGTACATTGTTCATTTGGGTTTCAGTTCATCAGAAAGGAAAAAATATATATATAAGTAAAGATATTTTCTATCTTTTTGTGAATGTATTCTAGATATGTAAAGGACAGATCTTACCAACTAAAATTATCTGCTTATTTCCCACATTGTTAGACATTGCCAGCATCCAAAATAAACAGGGCATCAAAAAGCTGTGATTCTTAAACTTCATTGGAAGAATATTCTGGAGAACTTGATAATATTGTAGATTTCATGTCCAGCCTTCAGAGATTTTGATTTCAGAATCTATTTTAGAGCCTTAAAAATTTTATTGTGGGTGTTTGTTTGTTTGTTTTGGAACCGGGAATCGAACTTCAGCCCTTGTGCTTGCAAGGCAGGTGGCAGAACCACTGAGCTAAATCCCCAGCCCCTTAACCATTTTATTCAAACAAATAAATACTCCTATGTGATTCTGATCATCTGAGTCACATTTTAAGAAGTTATTTATGGCAAGATTTTACAGGGAAGAAATGGGATTTTTGTACTTTTACTTCAGCACATCCTGAATGCCTAGTATATGACAGACCTGTATTGTAATGTAAAAGTGAAATAAAGCATAATTGGGACTTTGTAGGAAACTTAATTTTCTAGCAAGACATAATGAATGTATTATACTATGTAAGACATATATTCTTAATAACTATGTGAAGTATTTATTACCTCTGTCTTGCAGATAGGGAAATTGAAAGTTATTACTAAGAGTAATATACTCATTATCTCAGTGACTAAAGTTATAGTCAAATATACATCTTTTGACTCCAAATCTTGTGTTCTTTCCATTGTACTGTTTTGTCTTTCAGCTCTAGAGCAAGTTTTGCCTCATTAACATGTTATCTAGTAAATATTAATAAAGATAAATGAGTGCTTATTAGAGGCTTGGGTGGATAGTGGAGCAGGAAGGTGGGCAGAGTTTGGTCAGTGGTATATTATAGTTAGATGGAAAAATAAGTTCTGGACTTTTGTATAATAAGGTAACTATTGATAATGATGTATACTTCAAAATAGTTAGATGAAGGGATTTTGAATGTTCTTACCATGAAGAAATGATAAGTGTATGAGATGATAATGTTAATTATCCTTTCAATATATACAGTTATTAGGTATCAGTTAATTTTTGTTTTTGTTTTTGTTTTTTTGGTACCAGGGATCAAACTTCAGCCCTTGTACTTCCGAGGTAGGCGGCAGAATCACTAAGCTAAATCTCCAGCCCAGTTAAAATATTTTTAAAGAGATAAATGAACAACATACAGCTTTGATTGAGAAGAAAATAATCTAAATTACTTTTTTTTTAAACTCTAACTTACTTTTATTTTCCTGTCAAACCAAAGATTATTCTAAATTTAGGTAAAAATGGAGACCTTTTCAAAATACTTTCCAAAATGATTTTTCAACATTAACATTTTAAGACCTGTTATAGAAATTTTTTTTCAGAAAGCTGCTTGATTATACTCCTGTTTACATTTTGTTAATAAAATTAAAATATACTGATTTTTTTCTATCTTTATTTTATAAAACTTGTCTCTCCAATTAGCAAATTCTTGAATAGGGCATCTTTTTATTCTGTATTACTGTCTTATGGACTAGGTTTCTTAAAAGGTGCTTGGTATTCTTTAATCAAAATTTGAGAAATACCCATTTATGAAAAACAGCTTTTAATAAGTTTGTGAGGTTTTGTTTAACAAGAAAACTGTACAATTCTTTTCTAAATCTCTTTTTTTTTTAACCTGTAAGGGACAAGGAACATGTAGCTCTGATCAAAGTGAAATCTGCAAACTGCAAAATATTATTAAGGTAAGTCAGATTTTTATGGCCAATAGTTGTTATACATCTAAACATCTGTATATTAAAAGCATAGGCCTAAAGTAGAAATCTCAGCTGTGAAAGATTATATACATTATGATATTCAGTTTTTAACTTTTTTAAATTGAGTTTATTGGTACATTTTAGGTATACAGTACAGTTACATTCATTATTGGGATCTTGTACCTCTACATGACAAGTCTTGGTTCTCATTTTTCGCCTTGTCTCTGCCCTCCCTTCACCCCCATTTACAAACACTTTATTTCTATCTTTTCATTTTCTCACATTTTTTTCTTTTCCCTTATTAACTTTCCCCTACCCTTCCCACTTTCCCCACACCTTTAGCCCTTTTCTTCCCATTTCACAATGTCAGTTATCTCATTAGGATCTTATGTACTATTACAGTTTATTCACACCAAAGAAACTATTCGGTATTTATACATGTGTGACTTATTTATTTCACTTAGGAGTATATCCTCAATATGTATCCATTTTCCTATGAATGACTCTTAATTTCTCATTCTTTATGGCTGAGTAATATTCCATTTTATAGAAAAACCACATCTTCTTTATCCAGTTTCCAACTGATGGGCAAATGGGCTGTTTCCAAGTTTTAGCTATTACAAACATGTTTTTACATTGGTGCGCATATATCACTGTGATATGATTCTCTTAGTTCTTTTGGAAAGATACCCAGCAGAGGGATGGCTGGGTCAAATGGAACCTCTAGTCCCAGCTCTTTGAGGTATCTCCATATTGATTTCCATAGCGGTTGCACCAGTCTGCACTCCCACCAACAATGGAGAAGGGTTCCATTCTCCCCACAACCCCGCCAACATTTGTTATTGTTTGATTTCTTGATAGTAGCCATTCTTTGTGGGGTGAGGTGGAATCTCAGTGTTGTTTTCATCTGCATCTCTCGAATGACCAGTGATGAGCATTTTTTCATATATTTACCTTGCTGCTTTTATTTATTTGTCTA